CAAACACTTAAACCTCCCCACCCACAGACACACCTTTGCCCATTCCATCTGCATCACAGAACACTGTTGTTCCAAGGTTGTATATAAATCATTGTTTACCTCTATCCCATTTAGGCTATGCATGTCTTCCTAAGTCATCCCCTATTTTCTTTGTTCCTCAGCCATCCTCCCTCTGGTCATTTTCTTTGAAGGAAATTAAATTCAGATTATTTCTTTGGTCTTCAAATCACTGTATTGATCAACCTTAAACCCCAAAAATTATTTGTTTTACTCATTAACAGTCACACTTTCATGTATTTTGTTGTTGTTATTGTTGTTGTTAAGTGCCATCGAATCCATTCCAACTCATAGCAGCCCTGTACAGGAGCAGCTGAGGAGCTGAAATGGCCGACCTTGTGGCTCAAACCAACCCTGCAGTCCAGGGCTTATCCTATAGTACCACACCAGTATGTTGTTGTTGTTAAGTGCCCTCAAGTTGATTCTGACTCATAGTGACCCTGTATAGGGTTTCCAAGGAGTAGCTGGTGAGCTTGAACCACCGACCTTGCAGTTCAAATGACTTTGCAGTCTGACGCATTAGCCCACAGGACTCCAGTATGTATTAGGGTGTAGTAATTAAGCAAATCATTAACCTTACTTTTTATTCATTTCTTTTACTCAAAATATATCTTTTCATTTGTGAAATGTTTTAAGTTAAATATTTTCATCATTAATCATATTATTATAATTCTTTTCTCTTTGCAATTTAAAGGAAACTTGTACTTGCTTTTTGTAAATAGATATCTTATATTTAACTAGTTAAGAAAAATGTTTAAATTTGTTTTGGTTTTTTTTCTTTAAATAGATTCTAATTCAGAATTGTCAAATGTAGAATTAAGGCAACGTCTTCATGAAACTTTAGAGGTAGGTACTTGGTCTAATATAAAAATCCTCATCTGAAAAAAGTCCACTGATAGATATTTTGATTAAATGACACTAAAATATGGAAGGCAGATACTGACTTTTTAGACATTCTTGTTGAGCCACAGTGGACTCTGTTTCCCATCCTCCTCATCTCTTGAAAAGGCTATGCCTACCAGCTTTCCCACCAACCTTACTTCTCTAGTTACCTCTTGGAGAAAATAGTTATCATTTCTTATATCTGCCTTTCTTATAGGTGTGCCTTGAAATAACCTGACTTAATTTAACCTCCTTGAAGCCAGAGAAGAGGCTCTGGTAGCTCAGTGGATTAAGCATCAGACCACAAAACACAAGGTCAATGGTTCAAACATACCACCCACACCAAGGGAGAATGATGAAGCAGTCTGTTCCCCTAGAGATTTATAGTCTTGAAAACCCTATGGAGCAGTTCTACTCTGTTCTAGAAGGTCACTGTAAGTCAGAATTTGGAAATCAGAAGACCGAGTATCCCTAGTGTCTTGAGGATTACTTCCAGACTGGTGAAAGTAGGAATTTCTATTAAGTGCCTGTAGTTAAGAAAATAGAAAGCCCATATTAGTGTGGGTTTGTGGCTCTTTGTATGAAAACTGGTAAATCTGTGTGGATGGCTATCTGCTTAATTTATTTATTTTGGGAACTTTTTAATTGTGAATTGACTGAAGGTTTATAGAGCAGATATCAGTTTTACATCCAACAAGAATAGGATCCAGAACCGATGGTATTGAAGGAAGAAGTCCAAACTGGCAAAAAAGCAAGGCTCTTCAAAAGCAAGGCTTTAGGAATATATGGAATGCAAATTGAAATCCTGCAACAAATTGATGCAGCACTGGAGGCACTCACTCATCTGTGCCAAGAAATGTGGACGACAGCTAACTGGCTGATTGGACAAGATCCATATTTATGCCCACTCCAAAGAGAGGTGACCCAGTAGAATGCAGAAACCATCAAACAATATCATTAATTTCACATACAAGTAAAATTTTGCTGAAAATAATTTAAAAATGGTTGCAACAGTACATTGATAGGAAATTGCCAGTAACTCAAGCCAGATTCAGAAGAGGACATGGAATGAAGAACATCATTGCTGATATCAAATAGATCCTGGCTGAAATCAGAAAATACCAGAACGAGTTTACCTGTAATTTACTGACTATGCAAAAGCTTTTGACTGTGTGGATCATGACAAGGTATGGATAACATCTCAAAGAATGGGCAATCCAGAACAGTTGATTGTGCTCATGAAGAACCTGTACATAGACCTAGAGGCAGTCGTTCGCCCAAGAATAGAACAAGGAGATACTGAATATTTAGAATCAGGGAAAGTATGCACCAGAGCTGTATTCTTTCACCATACTTAGTTAGTCTGTATGCTGAGCACATAATCTGAGAAATTGGATTATATGAAGATGTATGTGGCATCAGGATTGGAAGAAGACTCATTATTACCCTGCAATATGCAGATGAAATTACTTTTCTGGTTGAAAGTGAAAAGGACTTAAAATACTTACTGATGAAGATCAAAGACCACAGCCTTTAATATGGATTGTACCTTAAAGTAAAGAAAACAAAAATCCTCACCACTGGAACAATAAATAACATCATGATAAGTGGAGAAAAGATTGAAGATGTCAAAGACTTCGCGTTACTTGGATGTACAATCAACAATCATGGAAGTAGCAGTCAAGAGATCAAACAACGTATTGCATTAGGCAGATTTGCTGCACAAGACTTCTTCAAAATGTTAAAGAGTAAAGGTGTCAGTTTGAGGGCTAATGTGCACCTGACCCAAGCCATAGTATCTTCAGTAGCCTCATATGCATGTGAAAGTTGGACAGTGAATTAGGATTGATGCATTTGAGTTATGATGTTAAGGAGAATATTAAAAGTACCATGAACTGCCAGAAAAACAAACCTGTGTTAGAAGAAGTACAACTAGAATGCTCCTTAGAAGCCAGGATGACGAGGTTTCATTTCTCATACTTCAGGCATATTATCAGGAGGGACCAGTCCTTGGAAAAGGACACCATGCTTTGTAAAGTGGATGATCAGCGAAAAAGTGGAGGACCCTCCCCACAGAGATGGATTAGCACAGTGGCAGGAGCATTGGCCTCTAGTGAGGATGGCACAAGACCAGGCAGTATTTTGTTCTGTTGTACATAGGGTCACGATGAGTAATGGCACCTAAGAACAACAACATCCAACAAATCACACATTTTGTTTTATGTCTGATTGCTATCTCCTCTGTGTAACAACAGTTATCCCATTTCCTCCCTGTAGTTCCTATTTCCATTCTGCCCTCCTTCCCAACCCCTCTGAACCTTGTCCCCAGGTAATTGTTGCCCTTTTGATCTTGAATGGCTGACCAATATGTGCTTACTTTTTGAGGCTTAAAGTTACGTGTTTTTTCCCCAAAACTATTATTTGGTTAACCTAGGTGGGTAAAAGCAGAAGATTTTTAGGCACAACTGGTACCAGATGGCTTTCAATTTCAACCTCTGGTCACCTACACAGACTAGAGGCATTTCCAACTTGACTTGTGAAGTCAAAGTGCTTTGAGCCAAGATGAGATATGTACTTGCCAAATCTATAGTAATTGGGTTCATATTTGCATATGCAACTATTTTTTTCCTGTCTTCAGGAGGTAGAAGTTTTAAAAACTGAGCTTGAAGCATCTCAAAGACAACTTGAAGGTAAAGAGGCAGCACTGAAAATTCTTCAAAACATGGTAAGAAGTTACTTTCAAAATTTCATCACTTATACATCCAATAAGTGGTATCTTTTATGGTGGTGGTGGTTATGTGCCGTGGAGTCGGTTCCAACTCATAACGACCCTGTATAGGGTTTCCGAGGCTGTAAATCTTTACGGGAGCTGAAAGCCTCATCTTTCTCCCGCGGAACAGCTGGTAGTTTCAAACTGCTGACCTTGAGGTTCGCAGCCTGATTCGTAACCACTGCTTTTATAGGACATCCCAATTAATTAACCTAATTAATGTGTTTAGTGCTCCTGCTCTAAAAGCTTAAAAGGGGACAGCGCAGGCACCGAACTCACTGCATCAAGTCCTGTATAGGTTTCTGACGTAAATTATTACGGGAGCAGAAAGCCTCGTCTTTTTCTCACAGAGTGGCTGGTGAGTTTGAACTGCCAACCTTGTGGTAAGCAGTCCAGTGCTTATCTGACAGTGCCATTAGGACTTCTATCAAAGGTGTAATTGATTTCAACAGAGGAAGGAGAGTCAGGAACAGGAGGAGGAAATAGAATGTGAGGCTAATTGTTTACTTGAACAACTGCCTCATTTGCTGTGAGATCAGAACTGGATGGTGTGTGGCTACCATTACTGAACATATTTATTATCAAAGATTTTATAGAAAAATCCTGATCAAATGGGGAAAGATACAGAACAGAATATCAAATTCTCATGTAGGGTGGGTGAATAGTTTAACTTAACCAGCAAAAAAAGATATGTCTTGAATATTATGCTCTTTTAAGATCTATGTGCGATCAAATTGACATAGCAACTCAAAAAGACTAGAAAGGAAACTTGTTAAGTGCCATCGAGTCTGTTCTGACTCATTGTTGTTGTTGTTGTGTGCCGTGGAGTCGGTTTCGACTCATAGTGACCCTACACAGGGTTTCCAAGGCTGTAAATCTTTACAGGAGCAAACTGCCTCGTCTTTCTCCCACGGAACCGCTGGTAGTTTCGAACTGCTGACCTTGCGGCTCACAGCCCGATTCGTAACCACTACGCTACCAGAGCTCATAGCGACTCTATATAGGGTGTCCGAGGAGTGGCTGGTGAGCTTGACCTGCCAGCCTTGCAGTTCAAACCGACCTTGCAGTCCAGCGCATTAACCCGCTGTGCTACAGTAAATTATGTTAATGAAAGAGGAAAAATTCAGAAAGGAGGGTGAATGGTTGTACAACTTAAAGAATGTAATTAGTATCACTGAATTATACATGTAGAAACTACTGAACTTGTATATGGTCTGCTGTGTATATTCTCAACAACAACAAAATAAAATTATATTTAAAAGTGGTATGGCTTCAGCCTTTAAAATAAAGCAACAGTACTTAATATAGGCTTTAAGTTTTTTTTTAAGGTGTAAATTTTTAAAACATCTTTGAGTGATGTAAATTACATACATAAAAAAGAGTCTAGGATTCCCAGTCTTTGCAATATGCATAGTTATGATTTATACAGATTATCTTTGCATAATTAATAAAACAGAAGTAAACATCTGTCTGGTTTTCTCTACTTTTCAGCCAAGATCCCAGCTGATGTCAGCAATGATATCCTTCATTCCATGTCCTCTTCAGAATCCGGCTGGAATTTCTTGCAACTCCCTATTGATATATTGCTGCAGCTGTTATTTTTTTTTTCCTCTTTCTTTTCTTTAAAGCGTTTATTGTAAATTGAGTGAAGGTGTTCAGACAAGATCTTCAGTTTTACGTGGAACAAATTGTACACTGTGTTTGATCTCAATGAATGCGATCCCCTCCATGCAACAGCAGTCATCCCGCCTCCTCCCTGTAGTGTATATTTCCAGTCTACCCTCCTTTACCTTTGTCCTTTGCTTCAATCTTTCCTGAAAGATTTTAACCACATTTTTCATTCATGTGATAATAATGATATTGTTAGATAATTTCATTATTCTGCGTGTCACCTTTCTTTGGAATAGACACAATTATGGATCTCTTCTAATCAGTTGGAAATCGCTTGACACATGTGTCTCTAATGCTGCATCTGTGTTTTGAAACATTTTGATTGGTATTCCGTCAATTTCTGGAGCTTTGGATTTGCCAGTGCCATCACTGCAGCTTGAAGCCTTGCTCCATCCACATTGTTAAGGTTAACTCTACTTTTAGGAGGTAATTTTTCCCTGATGCTCTGACAGTTCTCCACTTGTATTCATAAGGTTTTCATTGGGCAATTTTTTGGAAGAGAACTGCTTTATCCTTTTTCCTACTTGTCTGTCAAGTTCAGTTTGAACCACAAGATTGGCGGTTCTGACTTATCAGCCACGTCTTCGAAACCCTATGCGGGGTTGCTATGAGTCAGAACCAACTGACAGCATTTAACAATAACAACAAACTATCTGTCTTCGTGTGGCAGCTTCATTAAAACCATTCCATTATGGGTTATTCTGCTAATATTTGAAATATTGGGGGCACAGTATCACAGCAACGTACAAGCCACCACAGTGTGACAAACTGATACATCAGTGGTGGGGAAAGATACAAAGAAAGATGATCCACCAGCATAATGAAATTATCAAAAAATATCATTAACATCACATGCATTTAAAATTGTGTGAAGATAATTTTTAAATGCTTGCAGCAGTACAGTGGTAGGAGCTATTAGAAATTCTAGCTGGATTCATAAGAGGACATGGAATGAACTCATTTTATATTGTCTTGAAACTTCTTTATGCATATACGAGTGATTATTAGAAATTCAGTCAACACAAATACTATTTTTCTTTTTCTTAGGCAATATTTGGTAAGGCCACCAGTCATACCCAGGCAGTGCTTCAAAAGACAATGGAACAAAAGAGATCATTGGAGAAGGTATTTGCCATTATTAGAAGATTTGTTCAACCCAGCAGACTTTAAATAGAATTTCCTTAAAGTCGCCATTCTATTGGATATGTCATTTGAACATACCCTCTGCTAGATGTGCTTCAGTTTCATCTGATCATTTCCCTTTTGGAGTTTACGATCCAAAACAGATTGTATCATGGTCAGAGAAAATAATATTCCATTTATTTCCCCATTTTAAGGTAAGTAGGAGAACTAATGTTTTTTCTTTCTTCATCTTCTTCTTTTTTTGTTTCTCAGCTTGCCTGGTAGAGTGTGCTTCTTTTTCACCATCATCATTAAAAAGGCATCTTAAGGAATCAGCTTATATTTCTGTGCTTGGTGTGCGCTCTCTTTTTTTTTTTAAAGGTTTTTATTGTGGATTGAGTGAATGAGTGAACGTTTACAGGGCAGATCATCAGTTTTACATTCAGCAAATCATACATCTTGTTTCATTACAATAATTATAACCCCCTCCAGGTACCATCAGTTAATAGTATTTCTCTCTATTCATTTTAGCTCTTTAAAAAAAAAATAATAACAACTTAGGCATATATAATAATTTATACCTCCAAAGGACTCATTCTGCAAGTCTGCCTCTTGGACACCAGCTCTTAGTCCCTCTCTTCCCAAGAATCTAGAGTCCTCATCTGCTCCCCATCTCCAGGTTCATCAAATTATAGCAATTTATCCTCATTTCCTTTATCAAAAAAAAATTTTTTTTTAAATCATCCTCTAGTCGAGTTCTGATTATCAAGCCATCAAGATTTGGTCAAATGGGTACTATCTGCTAGTTTGGGTGTTCTTGTGCATCTCCCCTCACTTTATATCAACTGGATGCTTCACTCTCAGCTCTAGCCCTCTGTGGCTATGTCCTTGTCCATGGGCTCAGGTGTCCCCAGGTCTCACTTCACTTTGGACCAACTAGTCCTTCCTCTTTTCTCTCTCATCTCCAGGTCAACAGGAGTCAATGGACTGTGGTTGAACTCAGCCCATTTCTTCATTGCTGCCTGTCCCCCTCTTTCAACACCAGTAGACCAATGTGGTTGCCAGCAATCTTACATGCCTGCTCATGTGCTTCCTTTGAGTTTTACTCTTAGAAGGGAGTTTGTCCTGAAGGAACTTGATTGCTTACCTTGATGGTTTCCTGATAAACAGCTTGCTTATTCATGTAGTAGCCAGTCATGCTGACATTTTTGTTTTGGGTTTTTCTTGATGATCTTTCTTTGAAGATGTATCTTCTGTCACTCTAGCTGTTCCAGGCTGGTCTGCTTGTCCTTGCTAGTGGGAATGTCCCACCTCATAAGGTTCTGAATGGGACTCAGGATTCCACCTAAGGTCATATACTCTGCAAAGGCTCCACAAGAAGCCTATTTCACTAGCAAGTTCTAGAACCCCTTTTAGGCATTCCAATCAGTTATAGGTTGAAGACAGGCTTACAAGTTTTCTGTAATCTTGTTTCCCGACATTCCTTTCTATCCCACTCAAGTGTCTATTTTACAGTAGTAGGCAAGGGAAGCCAATATTCATAAGACAGTCAAGCATTTTAGTATTATTTTCCCTCTTCAAACTATGCCTAGATCCCTGTATCCCAGAGCCCTGCTGTTTCAAGTTTGAGCATGCGTCACTATTTACTTCTGTCCCACTTAGGCCATGCAAACCTCATTGGTTCTCTATCTATCTTGTTCTTCCACCTCCTCCCCAACATCTGAACTAAACCTCTCACCCCAACCACACCGTTGTAGTTACTTTATATTTCATTAACTTTTCCCTCCATTTAAGACATTCTATTTTATCCTGTAATCTACCTGACCTAACCACCTGGATCTCTGTTCCTCTGTGTTTACCTTCTTTCATATTGTAATTGTTTTAATCATAGACTGACCGCCCAGATCCTCTATTCTTATCATTTTATTCTGTTCTTGACTCTTCCATTTGTCAATTGAGTTCAGAGTGATGCTGCCATGTATGTCAATCTTTGGTTGTTTTCTGTTCTTGTTGGTTCTAAGTCCACAGAACTCCCTTTAGGATGTTTTTTCATCACAGGGTTGGCTTTGGCAAAATCCTATAGCTTCTATTTATCCTGGAATATTTTAATTACACCATCATATTTGATTGACAGCTTTGCTGGGTAGAGGATTCTTAGTTGGCAGTTGTTTTTTTTCTCTCAAGGTTTTATATATGTCTCCCCTTTGACTTCTTGCCTGCGTGGTTTCTGTTGAGAGATCTGAGCTTAATCTGATTTGCTTGCCTTTGTATGTTACACTTCTCTTTTCCCTAGCTGCTTTTTTTGTTGTTGTTTGTTTATGGAAGGCTTCCTGGAGGAATCAGAATTTTTTTTTTTTTCATTGTTAATTATGTGATAGTTTACATGGGAGAACATTAGCTTTACATTCATCCTAGCGTATATTGTTTCATTGCCATGGTTACAATCCGCTCCATGCATCATCAAATAACCAAAGGGTATACACTACAAGCCTGCCCCCCGGTTGTCAGCACACAGCCCTTCTCAGTCTCTGGGTGTAAAGTCCTCAGCTGCTCCATCTCTCCATGTCATCGTCTCTGCCTCCATCTCTGGTGTCACAGCTTCTCTGGGCAGGGTCCCACTCTCCGCTCTTCTCCATTGATGGTCCCAGGGACCTCTGCTCCAAGACTGTAAGTGAATCACTCCCGTCCTTTTGCTACAAAATGTCTACCTTTACATTTCCAATCACAATCAGTCCTGATAACAATTATTCACTATTGTATCACAAGAGACCTATCTGCATCTCCTTTCATCAGCCCCACCCAGACAGACTGGATAATACTCAATGGAGATTATACCTTCCTCCACACCCTCTGGATCTAGGCTCCTTCTTGAAAGCTTGTAAACCAGTCACTTCTTGCCTTTGTAGGTCCCCCCATTATGGGTAGCCAATGTCCAAGTTGCCCATCCCTGTCCACTCTGTGTATGGAGGGGGTGGGAATGATCCTCACTATAAAGATTTTGTTCTCTCTTTTGAGCTACTGCATCCTTAGGTGTAGGTCAATTCATCAAATTGTATCAGATTACTCTTTTTTTCCTCTTCTTTCTTCTTCTAGTTGAACTCTGATCATCCAGTCATTGAAGCCAGGTCGAGTGGGTATTATCTGCAAGT